TGGGATGTATGGCAGACATTATTACATCTATTTTATATGTGAGGAAACAGAGGTTCAGTGACATACAATTAATTACTTATCCACATTAATGGTGGAATGGTAACCAGAATCCACATCCCTCGATCAAAGACAGGTGCTTATATATTTCAAATCACCATTCCTCTCACATTAACCCATCATCTTTGTAATTTACCAATAGTAAAGAACCCCTCTTTGACTTCTAATACCATATCTAGGAATAAAAACAAGGATAAATGGGACTTAAATCATGTGTAACTCACCAGTTTTAAGGCACACTAAACTGAAGCCTTCATGGGTTTCACAGCCCATCCCTTCTGTATAAAAATATCTTTGAAAATTCTAGTTAACAGATTAAAAGTTTAAGGATGAAATGCAATTTTATGGTTACAAAAGAAGGTACACAGTAATATCATTACCAAAGGGATTCAGAATCCCTAAGAATTTTGCCAGACTACTTTTTAGCAAAAAAGTGTTGGTCATTTGGGCTGTGGTAGTATAAAATCTCCAGTGACTTTCTTCTCCTATTATGAAAACTGTCAAAATGTATAGCAAGATAAATCAATATAAAGCTCTTAACTTTGGAAGCTTAAATTATTGTTATGAGTGACGGGATTTAAAAATGGTCTTTCCTAAAGTATTATTTTAGTAGATGAAATTACCTCCTTATAATTCATCTGGTACTTTTATTAAACATGGTATGACTCAGAGATCTAATTATTTTTCGAATAACTTTTGGAAAAATATTTTTTTCTTTGAGTTTGATTTGCCAACATATAGCATAACACCCAGTGCTCATCCCATCAAGTCCCCCCTCAGTGCCCGTCACCCAGTCACCCCATCTCCCCACCCACCTCCCTTTCCACTACCCCTTGTTTATTTCCCAGAGTTAGGAGTCTCTCATTTTCTGTACCCTCACTGATACTTTCACTCATTTTGTCTCCTTTCTCCTTTATTCCCTTTCACTATTTTTTATATTCCCCAAATGAATGAGACCATATAATGTTTATCCTTCTCTGATTGACTTATTTCACTCAGCATAATACCCTCCAGTTCCATCCACGTTGAAGTAAATGGTGGGTATTTGTCATTTCTAATGGCTGAGTAATATTCCATTGTATACATAGACCACATCTTCTTTATCCATTCATCTTTCGATGGACACTGAGGTTCCTTCCACAGTTTGGCTACTGTGGACATTGCTGCTATAAACGTTGGAGTACAGGTGTCCTGCAGTTTCACTGCATCTGTATCTTTGGGGTAAATCCCTAACAGTGCAATTGCTGGGTCATAGGGTAGCTCTATTTTTAAATCTTTGAGGCACCTCCACACAGTTTTCCAGAGTGGCTGTACCAGTTCACATTCCCACCAACAGTGCAAGAGGGATCCCCTTTCTCCACATCCTCTCCAACATTTGTTGTTTCCTGTCTTTCAACAGATCTTTCTATTGAACATCCTGGGCTCCCAACCTAGTAAATACTGGCAAGGGACACATGCCACTCAAGAAAGCTGGCAGGGAGGGAAGGAAGCTGGACTTTAAGGATTGACATTATTTTGACTGAACAAGGATGTCCTACAACAAACTGCTCTGAGGGCTTAGCCAGCCCATGAACTGGAGCTGTTTGTTGAATTTAGGTACCTCCAGCAAGGCTGGCCCTCAGCAAAACCTTCAAGTTGATCAAGTTTATGTTAATGATCTCAGAGAACCAATATTAGGGGCCTGCTCATATTTGAGGCTTTGATGGTTTTTCCTTGTCTCAAATAAACAACCATTTTGAGACATGATTTACATGTCTCAAATTTCTTTACCTAACAGGCTGTCAAAATTAAATGGGTGTGGAGCAATGTGATATGGCCTGTTCAGAAGAAAAGAGGTCATAGAAAGATTGAGGACAGGAGAGAAACAATGACTGTAGTAAGCCTGGCAGCTGTAGTTTAAGGGAGAGATGATGCAAATAGTGGAGTAAAAAACATGGTAGACTTCTGAGGTTTGATATAGGTATCCAGATATGTGAAGGCTAGCCAGTGAGATAATTTTGTAGAGGATGGTTTGGTGGGCGCAGGATGGTTGTCTATAAGCCTCTTCTGAACAAAGTATAGTTCCTCTACCCACCTGCTAGGATTAGTGCTGGAGTGGCCTCGTAAGAGCTATACATTTTCAGTGGGTTAAAGTATTATGTTCCTGGGCATGGTTAACCAATTAGTTGAGATTGGTTTTCACCTGATTAGTCCATTAGCACCAGTTTTCACCAAAGTGAGTTGGAGGTTTGGAGGAGATATAATCCAAGAATGTGAAAGTTTTGGAATGGAAAGCATTCACTGTGCTGGATGACCACCATATATAGTGCTGCTCAATCAGAGTGTAATGAATAAACTCTGCAAGCCTCTGGGCTCTGGCTGCTTACATGGTAGTATATGTTATCCTCATATGCAGAGTAAAAATCTGATACCTAAAGTACTTAAACAAATTTGCCCAAGATCACAGAACTTGGGTGAATCCCAGATTTTGACCTTGAGCTGTCTTGCTCTGACAACAGTTCGCCTTTTCATCTATACTACATTGTCTCTCCAGAAGGGTGGGGATGGCCTGACAATAACATTTTACTATGCCATAGTTTTTTATAAAATCCACAAAATCCTATTGGGTACGGGACGCCTGGGTGACTCAGCGGTTGAGTGTCTCTGCCTTTGGCGCAGGATGTGATCCCAAGGTCCAGGATCGAGTCCCGCATTGTTCTCCTTGTCAGGAGCCTGCTTCTCCCTCTGCCTATGTCTCTGCTTCTCTCTGTGTGTCTCACATTAATAAATAAATAAAATCTTAAAAAAACCCTATTGGGTACAAATAATCTTTTATAAGGCTACATGGCAACTTGGAAAGCAGTTGATCTAGCCCAAAGAATGTGTTAAGATTCCAGGCTGTTCTTCATCAGAGGTTATTTTCTAACTCCTATTCTTTAGATTTTACTTCCCAGGGAAAAAAGAAATCAAAGCAGTGTGCAGGGAAAATGAAAATGGTTAGAGCTAATTGCATATGGACTCGCCCCAAATATGACATTAGAAAACAATGTCGTTTGTCTTTGAATACAATGAGTGTGTGGGCTCATTTGCCCACCCCCACCACTACTATGTGAAAGTGAAGCAGCTCAGTTTTCATTTTCCTTTCCTCTCAAAATGCCCAGAGGGACCATATTTTTGTTTAATAACCTTCAGAATGATTCTTTAGAAATCTGAGTCTATCAGAGTTTGAAGCAATGCGAAAATAATTGTGGATTATTATTGTATAATGATAGTGGCAGCTGGACTATTTTTTTCTTTTTGTTCAGACTTTCTTTTTCATTTTCCCAGAAACCTTATATCCCAAGGTTTAACTCAGAAGCCAATTTCATATAGGTGATAACCTTGCCAGACGTGCTATGTAATATAATTTCAGACAGCCCCTTAACTGTTCTTTGGAAAGACCCTAGGGAGTGAAGCAGCCTTATATCTAGATCCTCTAGATAGTATTACTTTTATTTATTCTCTGACAATGTGTGTAGGTATTTGTATTGGACATAAAGCAAGCATATCTCTTAAATATCATACCTGTGAACTTAAGTGCCAATTTTTTTGTTTTGTTGCCGAAACCCCTGCTTATCACAAAAGAAAAAATCTGTTACAAGTAAGAAACTACTAAATGAATACTCATTTTTTTCAAGTCATTTTACACACACGTGTGTGCATGCATGTACACAAATCTGCAGAACTGTGAGAGTCAGCTCTGATTCTACCTTTGTGCGAATGTTTAGGATATATGTGTGGTGAGCAGGAGTGGGGGGGGGGAGGAGTAGTAGAGATGTTGGGAAAAGAGAAAAGTTCTCTTAACAATTATTTACATCATTGTCCTCACAATTGCCTTGACTGACAGATTCAGAGTTTAGATGATAAAGTATTTTTTCCTTGATTATTCAGCACCACCTCACAGCTGTCCCCTACACCTTCTCTTGATGTTTGTATAGCTTTTGGCCACCACTTTGGCTGAACATTTGAGATGAGTGGTAGACAAACTGGAACCATATCTAAAAAGTAGTCTGTGAAAATTCACAAAAGGCAAAGCCACTTGGCTGAATATTCCTACATACTTGGTTATTGCTGTGTCCTTGTCACTCTCTGAAAAAGTGTTAATCTTTTCTAGAGAAGTCCAATCCGAGGAGTGAGACTCTCTCATATTCCCATCAGGAGTATAGAAAAATTGTCTTCCAAACCCAAATAATATAATCTGGTCATATATCACTGAATTCAGAAAATAAGTGGGTAACTGCTGTATTTCATTACTAGAACAAAATGTGTACTTATTTTACCTAGCTATATTTCTAGAGAACTGACTAAGCCTAATTTTCTAGACCCTTTGCCCTCATCCCCACCCACCCAAATGGATCTCTTGATTATGAAGAGGGAGACTCCGGAATATTAGCATTAGTTTTCAACTATAAGAAATGATTAATAAAACCATTGTAAACTACATTGACAACATAAAATCCTATCATAAATTTTTAATAATGCCTAAGGCTCCCTTGTAGTATACTATGTTGCTAAATGAACACTATTCTCTTAGGACTCTTTGAAAATATCCCTGTCAAATAGAAAACAAAAACAAAAACAGGGCTTTATAATGGTATTTAGCAATTTTTAAGATTCCACTCTACCTCTTTTGCCCTTTGGGGAGTTTGTATGCTTTTCCATTTTTTTTTTTGCAAAATATCTCTATAAAGACTTTCTGCACTTGGGATCAGGCCTCTAAAGTAGGTCTTAGGCTAATAGTTGTGATATTTTAATTGTACACACTAAGACGCATTTGTGATTTTTTTCTGATCATTGACTTAACTTTAGGTATATATTATGAAAGTTAAAGAGGAGTACAAACAAAGTGAAAGTACTAACTTGCCAGTACCAAGACTTGATGAGAAGTTTAATTTTTTGCTTTCTTGTAAATATTTTCTATGCAGGAATGCAAGCCAAAAATGTGGAGAAGTATAATAATACAGAAAGGAAACACTCTTCTAATCCAAGAAGTTCAAGAAGAAGATGGAGGAAATTATACTTGTGAACTTAAGTTTGAAGGAAAACTTGTAAGACGAACAACTGAATTGAAAGTTACAGGTAAGAATTGGTTCCACCAAATTATGGCAAATGAAATTTTAAGTATAATTTGGTATGGGAAGAAGTTGTTTCCAAAACAAAGAATGAACTTGCAGTGAATTTAGAATTGGCTGCAAATCAATGGTTGGAAAGCTTACATTGAATACGTTGTACTGATAAACTATATGTAGAATATGGGCAATTGATTTAGGGAACATGAGCCTAATTGCTGCATATCTGTTCTCTGCCTTTATGAAAAGTTCTTTACTCTTCAAGATATCATTGACTGTTACTAAGCATCTCAGAAAAGATATTCTGGAACCACTTCAGAATGTTGACTTAACCCATATGTAGAATATCCTTGTAGGTAATGCCTGCCTGCTTCAGACTGAGATTCAGTCAGGCTTTTGGAATGACATCCTTTTGGACTGCATCCAGAATATAATTTATACAAAATTGCTTATAAATGACTGATGTTATTGTGTGCCTCTAGTGATTCTTAAATGGAGCAACTCCAAACAAATAGTGTGTATGTGTGTATTTTAAATCTGAAGCAAAAGTAAAGTATAAACTAGTAATTCTACTCACACCAAATGGAAGAGAGAAACTCAGGATATTCTTATCTTGTGGAGAATGTTAGAAAGTAATTTTTAGGGACATGTGACAGAACCTAATACCATGAAAGTTATCCCTGATGATGAGTGTGATGCACCCTAAAAAACTTCATGACAAAAGTCTACCTGCTATTGTTCCTGAGCAAACCTTGCCTAATTTTTTCTTCTTTATATATATGTTAGATTGTGTGTGTGTGTGTGTGTGTAAGTGTTCACACACGTTTGTATTGTGGCTAAAACCTGAGCCATAGTAAAATTTGACATTATCCAGACAATTGTAATATTGATTGCATTAATTAATTAATTTATGGCTGATGCTCTTGGGCATTACCTGTTTAACTATGTAATGTTCACATCAGCTAGTTGGTTAATTATAACATATTCACACTAATGTTAGGAATACAGATCCATTTACTAATAATGACACTTGTTGAGTAAGTTCATTGCTGTAACTCATATTTAATTAAGTTTTTGATCCTTGAGACTCAGAAGTTTGCTCTGTCTTTTTTCAAAATTCTGAATGTTAACACAAGGAATACAAAATATTTTATTAGAGGGGCACCTGGGTGGAACAGTTAATAAAAAGTCCAACTCTTGGTTTTGGGTCAGGTCATGACCTCAGATTTATAAGATTGAGCCCTATATCAGGCTCTGAACTCAGCATGGAATCTGCTTAAATTTGTCTCCCCCTTTCCCTTTGCCCTTCCCCCACTGCACATTTTCTCTCCCTTTCTCTCTCTGTCAGATAAATAAATATATATGTTTTAAATATTTTATTTATTTATTTATTTATTTATTTGAGAGAGAGAGAGAGAGAGAACACTAGCAAGGGGAGTGGAAGAGGGAGAAGCAGGCTTCCTGCTCAGCAAGGAGCCCAACATAGGACTTAATTCCAGGACTCTGTGATCATGACCTGAGCCAAAGGCAGACACTTAAATGACTGAGCCACTTAGATGCCCCATAAATAAATATTTAAAAAATATTTAATTAGAAACTAATATACATATGCTTTAGTTCATTTTATATCCTAATATATGGCAGTTCTACTTAGTCTGAATTTGTAGAGTAACTTCTGTGGAGGTTTAAATTATCCTTTTGATTAGAATTGCATATCCTTTCCTCTATGAGGTTTTATAATAACTACCCTAAAGGGACAAACCCAAATAGGAAAGATCTGCCTTTGGTTGATTTCTAGTTTCATCAATGTGAAGTAGACTTCCTGTATCATTCAAGGATAAGAATCACCCAGGCCATTATACATCATTAATAAGTGATCTGACCATGCACAAATCCTTGCAGTATCATCATTTTGACTACAGTCACACAATCTGTATCAGTTGTTTGCGGAACACTTCCATTGGGAATTATTTACGAAAATCTGTAGCATTATAGTATTGGGTTTGAGTCTTAAATTGGATCAGAGTAGAGTTTACACTAAACCTCTTTTATGCTTCCATCTAATGGGTTATGGTGACAACACATTTACTTTTTTAGTTTCTTTTTAGATTCTGGAAAAACAGAGCTAGAACTACTTCTTTTGGGTATTTTATAAGGTGTTAATTCACTTGCCCTAAACTTTTAGTATAGTTAAACTATGGATTTAAAATTTCACTTCAACTCTACCTCCCAGAGGTTTTCAAACTTTAATGCACATCAGAATCATGTGGAGGGACCCAGGTGGGATAAAGATGAGGTTCTTTAAATACAGGTTCCGTCTCCCTCCTCCAGATTCTAGTTCAATACATTAGTAAGAATGGGAACATGCTTTTTTGTCCAGGTAATTCTGTTGTATGTCTTCCAAGGATTATGCTTTGAGAAACAATAGCTGAGAGATTAATGCTAAAGAAGTCACTCACGGGTTTGATTTTCTTGTGAGCATGTTAGTTCACATACACACACACCAAACTCATTTTCATAGGCCCACAATTGTTTTACCTAACTTCCTAAGAGCTGTCATGAAAATATGACTCCTTGGTCACCAAGGGAAATCTGTCAAGAGAATATGGGGATGAAGCAGCCTCACCTACTGAAACAGTAATTTTTCATTTATCGTTTGAGGAAAAATATACTGAGCATGTATCACATGCTGGAGAAAAAATAGTTAACAATTGTCCTTGGGTCAGTTGTTATCATTCATATAAGAAGATATCAAGTTTATGTATTTATTAACATACTTCAAATATTATGCTTGATGTAGAAACAAAATGGTCTCCTGGTATAGAGGTTTAAGATGTTGCTCTGTGAAAATTTATTTTTAATTTTTATATAAGTTATATTGTGCTTTTTATGTTTGGAATTACAAAGCAAACAGCTTGTCCTCTTGTGATTCAAAATATAAGGCTGTGATTATTTAAAAAGTAACCCACTCTTGGGAATCCCTGGGTGGCTCAGTGGTTTGGCGTCTGCCTTCGGCCCAGGGAGTGATCCTGGAGAATCCCAGATCGAGTCCCATGGCAGGATCCCTGCATGGAGCCTGCTTCTCCCTCTGCCTGTGTCTCTGCCTCTCTCTGTGTGTCTTTCATGAATAAAAAAATCTTTAATTATTTTTAAAAGTAACCCACTCATACTTGTTTTCAGTTTAGCAATACACAGGCATGGAATAGGTATTTCAACATAAAATTAATAGGATTGGTTAATTACAAAATTATGTAGATAGAAGTTCTTTAAAATTGTATATTGCAAGTATGCAAACCTTAAAAGATAATAAAAAATTTAAGAGGTTACTTTCTGACCATTCTTTTTAAATTTATGTATTTGAGAAATATTTTTTCAGTAAAACAAGCAGTTTTTTTCATTTTTTAATTTTTATTTATGATAGTCACACACAGAGAGAGAGGCAGAGACACAGGCAGAGGGAGAAGCAGGCTCCATGTACCAGGAGCCCGACGTGGGATTTGATCCCAGGTCTCCAGGATCACGCCCTGGGCCAAAGGCAGGCGCCAAACTGCTGCGCCACCCAGGGATCCCAAAACAAGTAGTTTTTGAAGTGTGTAGGTGCTACTTGCTTTAAATGGATCAGCTATAAAAAGATCCAGATATTCAAAACTGATGAATTAGAAGGTAACCATTGGTCTTATGAAATTATTATTATTATTTTTTTAAAACAAAAATGTTTATTTGAAATTTTTACTTTACAACGAGTGAAGAAAACACACAGCTCCACTTTGGAAAAATTGTATATTTCCCTAACTTTATGTGTTAAGAATTCTTAAGCCTCTGTTGTAAACCAGGGAAAGATCTTTACCAAATAAAACACATTTATATGAAATGGGCAAAAGACATGAAGAGAAATCTCACAGAGGAAGACATAGACATGGCCAACATGCACATGAGAAAATGCTCTGCATCACTTGCCATCAGGGAAATACAAATCAAAACCACAATGAGATACCACCTCACACCAGTGAGAATGGGGAAAATGAACAAGGCAGAAAACAACAAATGTTGGAGAGGATGCGGAGAAAAGGGAACACTCTTACACTGTTGGTGGGAATGTGAACTGGTGTAGCCACTCTGGAAAACTGTGTGGAGGTTCCTCAAAGAATTAAAAATAGACCTGCCCTACGACCCAGCAATTGCACTGTTAGGGATTTACCCCGAAGATTCAGATGCAATGAAACGCCTGGGCACCTGCACCCCGATGTTTCTAGCAGCCATGTCCACAATAGCCAAACTGTGGAAGGAGCCTTGGTGTCCATTGAAAGATGAATGGATAAAGAAGATGTGGTTTATGTATACAATGGAATATTACTCAGCCATTAGAAACGACAAATACCCACCATTTGCTTCAACGTGGATGGAACTGTAGGGTATTATGCTGAGTGAAGTAAGTCAATCGGAGAAGGACAAACAGTGTATGTTCTCATTCATTTGGGGAATATGAATAATAGTGAAAGGGAATATTTTTTTCCATATAAAAGAATTTGTCATAGGATTTCTTTAAATAGCCAGGTTTCCTACTGCATTAAAATAGGATTTGAATTAAATGCAACTTTTCTGGAATACTTTTGATATATAAATTATTGCAGATTTGTATAATATTATTGTGGACATTTCTTTTTATTCTTTTGGAGGGTTCAGATGAATAGGGAAGTGTTTAACAACAAATAGACATGTACATTAGTGTGTTTAGGTCATTTGTCAAAGATGCCAACAACTAACAGTTTTATTTCCCATAGCATATTGTAGGTGGCTCTTTGTTATTTTAGAGAAATTCTCCCTTTATTCTCACATTGAATTTTGTGCAGAGGGCTAGTTGAAGTGGTAAGAAGAAAAGGGAGTGCTGATTATATGATAGTGAGAATATAGAACAGGTGATAACGGAAGAAGAGGAGTGGGAGAGTAGAAAAGATAATGTAATAGAGTCTCTGGGAATTAGAGGAGACTGTCTGCCTTGAGAAGGTCAAA